AGGTAATTGTTTCTAAGCTCGGCTGCTAATATGACTTCCCCCTTGATGGTTGAAAGAGGTCGACGAGGCCTCGCACGTTTCGCGGCGCGCGGGGCAGTTCGAGCGGGGGATACGAGTATTGCAGGGCTTTTACGCCTCCTTTTGGGCATCTTATCGTCCTGTAACAATAAAAGTTCATGAAATTGATTTAGAAGATATGCAAAAATGGCTGAGTTAAGATGGAAGATTGTCTAGCTCTAGGTTTATTTATAATAATTAACTTCATGCCCGCGCACAACACGTGAGCTCCTCACGTGCCGGTTAGCTCAGTCTAAATAAAACTACCCAATGTTTCAGCGCCTGAACAAACCTAACAAAGCAAATGGGAGGACGAAGGCTGAACACCTGTCAGTGGTGTCCTCTACAAACCTGGTAGTGAAATATTCTCCCAGAGCCGAGATTCAGTCACAAAAAAGGGTGGGATGAATTGTAATTGATGGATTTTCGACTTGATGGAGTTGCACTCGATATTTTGGTCGAAAAATCAGTCGGCAGAGATTTCACAGCCGGAACAATGTCGAACAAAAAGTCATCACCACCAACATACGATTCACGAATGGGCCTAGGCCTATCTGGGGGTCGTACTCAACATCCGACATCTCTTAAACTCCTTTTATACTTGCGACGAAGCATTTCTCTATCGATCCTATACCTGCGACCTACCTCCATACCCGTCCGATCACCTACCTACACACGCCCTAATGAGGAAAGTCATGATGGAAACGGGACGTGTACAAAGGATGAAGAAGAGGGAAGATACACTGAGGGGATTACACAAATCCCCAATGACGAAAACAACCCAACGGTACGATATGAAGGTGCAAGGCTAGAGCAACGATGAGATCTTCGACGGCATTTATATTTCGGAGTCAATGAGGATTTGTTAGAGTTAGACTCTAGTTTCCGCCGCTGATCATACATCTACGGGCAAATTACACTTTAGGATATGTGCACGGAAATGAAGGCTGGAAAACTTAATACAGAACTGACGGACATGGTAAAACGTAGTTTCGGACTTGCGCATAATATGGGAGGCAGGTCACGACTCTGTATCGAACATATATCTCAGGGGATATAGGTGCTCTATATTTGACTTTGGGAATATCTATAAAAGAAGGCATTTACATGTACATACTAGAGTAGACTTCACGGGAGGGTATTTCCATAATAAATATATATATATTAAAGATACTTGATAAAGACCTTTACATTTTTTTACATCCAACTGCAATCGCAGCCACATCATAATCGACAAACAGACCATATTCATTATATGTCTGAATATTTAGATAACTAAAGTCGAATAGGATTTCAAGGGCTCGGGCGCGTGGTGGCCGAGGCTGAGGAGGAAATCACGCTACGGCGTGTATACAGCGGGTTTCTGGACGGTTAGGCTTGGTATGATTCAACACATAGGTGAAGTCTGAGGTGGTCCGGTCATTAAAGTGGGACGAGGTTTATCTGTACTTCACGGTAGTTAACCTGATCCGGCCCAAACCCACACGTGATTAAGCTCCAATAGGAGTGCAACGGTAGCCATGCAACCTAGCACGTTAATGAACAAAACCAAAAACCAACAAAGCAAATGAAAGACAGGATCTTATCATCCTGCGCTTGAAGATTAAATTATACATTGTTACCGGTCTCCCTTCAACTCTTATGCTTTCAGATAGTATTGAATGAATAATAAATTAAATAAAAAAATATGGAAGGGGGAACTTAGTCGAATCACATGACTCCCTTTCGGTCAGACTTGTTGTGCTTTTCCAAAGAAATTTGTGAGTTTTTACTCAGTTATCTTTTACTTTAATTACATACACTTCGCCTGTCAAAGGTCAGGCTCCCAGTCACCTGACAGTTTTGGAGTAAACCAATTTTGTACTAGAGTGCTACACAATCTAGCTATCATGTTGTAATTGGTGGTCCATAAGGATTAAATTAGAATAGAGTAGCAGCTTTGTTGGGTAATGTTCAATGCATGGACAGCTCAATCTTGTTCATGGGAAACTATTGAGATAACGAGCTTATGAGAAGTCTAAGAATTGTGGCAATGGGTGTAATAGTCAGCTTGGTGGATATAGGTCAGCTCTTAAAGTGTAACTTGAAGAAGACGGGCTTGGGTGATAGATCTGATATATTGATTACTATTGGAATAAGAATGAAAGGTTGATCATGTACAGAGGTCTAACAGCAAGTATTTATATACATAGAATGTACACAAAATATACCATCGACAGCAACAATTCCCAACCATTCAACCATTCAATAATGATATAACTGGATACATCTGCGTCAAATTATCATATTATAATGTATAGCTGAGATAGTGGTGTTGTCTTTACTTTGTGCCGATGACGTACCATTGACCCAGGATAGCTTGTCCTGTGTGTTATAAATAATTCAATAGTCCTGATTTTGTGCCTTGAGGCACATGGAGATCTTATCAAAGTATATTTATTCTAAGTAGGATGACTCATTTTGACGGTTAGAACACTCACACTCAGATTTCATTTGCAGACACCACTCAAGGCTAACCCTTACGGCGTATAACCTCTTCCACTACTTTGCTGTACATTCTTCAAGAACAGAGGAGAAAAGAATTTCAAAATTTATCACCATTCACACTTCCAATTTTATTCAACACAAATGTGGAGAAAACTTCGCGTCTAAAATATCTTTTAATAATTGGCTGCCATTCTGGGACTAGGGTTGAGGAAGATGGAAATCAACCAAGTAATTACGTGTATTTTGCTCATCGAGAATTTTTATTTGTAGCAGGAAATCGAACACATGGTGTAATAAGGAGAATGATGTGTTAATGAGAGGGAAATTGTGCATAATGTCATAGCTAGTTAGGCTGCATACACTTAATGATTAAAAAACCCTCCTCAGCGCATACCCACCACATGGAATAGCGTGAAAACCCTAGGGTCAGCCGAATGTGCTTTCATCATCCAACAAAGATAATATCACCGCGAGATAGAGTAATGTGTGGGTATTACTGGATTCAAACCAGCTTTCTCCCGTCTCAAACGGGGTAGGAATTCAAACTACCGAGAAGCTTCTTGGGAGAACGGCAAAAATGGTGTACCATTACACTATCCAACCTCCTATGGGTTATGTCTTCTTAATACTAGCCATTCAAATTTGTGTGATTTACATGAGGGCCTGATCACGACAGAAACTTTTCCTCAATAGATATGTATAGTCTTCAATACACGACAATCATACCTTACGGTTATCTCGTCCTGCGCAAAATGCTATACAGGAGCTTCAGACTGTTGAATACCGTGAGATCATAATCACAACATATTACAACTAAGTGTTACAGGCTAGTGCCTTGTTTAGTTGTAACTGGAGCTTATCCGGTTCATTTATCGAGAAGTCTTAGGGCACATGGCTTGGCTGGATTACGGAGTTGTGTAAAGGATAAATCCTGCATAAATACATACGCGACGCGCAGTATTGAGTAGATAAGCATGTAGTCTTCGTAGTACTTCTTTCTTTATACAGAAATTAAATTAGTTTACGAACAATTTTACGCCCACGACAGTACGAATACCCAAAGGAGGATAAAAATCATGCTGCATAAATATAGGAGACGGTTCTTTGGGATGAGCGTGAGAGGGATCAGTACAAGTTCACAAGATGACGGAGAGAGAGGACATGATCTTTGCAGGTGTGAGATTTAGAATTTTGGAAAGGACTTTCACGAATTGAGCCTTTTGTAGGCCAAGACTTCGGTTGCGAGAGTGCAGCTGGCACTATAAAAACGAGCCAATGATAGAAAGCGTCGTGGACTGGCTTCTGGTGGTGTTCTCCGGTATAGTTTGAGTGGCCTGGTCACCTACTCCACTTGGTGAAGAGACGCCTCAGACCACATTTCGCGCGGAAATTAGTCAGGAGATAATTGAGGCATGTCTGGATGACTCAGGGGGTTTGGGAAGTTTCTCTAGGTGAGTATTCACGAATGAGGGCTGACCTGGGGAGAAAAAAAGCCGCCATATTTTTTTATTTCATATTGTATTCATGAGGATTCAAGATAGACAGACCTCTAGATTAGTACGAGGCTCTGATAAATTGTAATGCTTATGCAATGTTGTTCAAGTTGGAGTCCGGGCGCAAGATAAGGAATATTGTAGTTAAATAGACGATACCCTGTGTTAATAGAAAATGAAGTTACATCCAGGCTTAAGCTCTACCATACACATTGGTAGTTTGGAGCCACGAGACTTCCGTAAGCTACGCCATCATAAAGCTAAGCTTATCTCACTTTTCACACATACTTATCCATCGGCAACCTCATTCAGACCGCCATAAATTTGCAGTGGTACCTGAAAATGAAATCTGAGGCATGAGTGTTTGTTACAGGCTGCTGTCTCATTTACCTGGAACCGGAGTTTATCCGGCTCCCAACAGGCATCATTCCTAATTTAGTTAGGATCATGTAATTGCTTATATAAAGTCCAGGGTGCGACGCGACGCGAAGTCTTTATACTCTGGTTAATCCCGTGTAAATTATTTTCCCTTAAGATAGAAAATAAATATCATTTTCGACATATGTTTGAGAGAAGCTGGCGTACCGTCCCTTAACAGTGTTCTCCTAAAATGAGTCATCAACTCCGTACTTTTTCTCTGAAATCGTGTCATAGCTAGATAGCTGTCTACCCAATTCAAATTTGATGCAAAAAAGATCATCTCTACAGCAGGTGTGAGTGAAATCAGTGCAATATCTGAAATCATAACCTAGCTCGAAAAACCAGAAACTTCTCTCACAGCTCATTTTAAAAACCTCCATTGATTTATGGGATTTTGTCATGACAAATAGACTCAGCTAGTATTATTATGGAAATCTAATCTACATCGTCACATATCTCTGACTTCGACCATCACTCTCCGCGAAAGTTGAGGGCATTTCCAGCAGCTAATCCACCGCTCATCACCTTGAATTCACAAGAATATCACAAATTTAATATTGTTTGTAAGCTACTTCCCCAATATTGACTTGTCATTTGACAGAATTTAGTTTCCGTATTAAGTTTCATTATTACATTCCAGTTGCTAAAATTTTCAGTCCAGACTAAGAAGTAGTGACCATTAGGATCTAGAAGAATTAGCTTTTTTTCCTGGTTTGAAAAAGAAGCGTGTTACTTGTCAAACTGGTTGCTCCGTTCAGTAACATGGGATAAGCAGTATAATTAAAAGCATCCTCGAAATATTGAATTCTCATGATTGTAGGATATCCAGCTATAGGTGCTGACTTGGAGTTGTTATATGCTGTCTTTATATCTTCTGCTGTTATAGGAATACTACCACAATGAAAGATGGTATTGGCAATTGCCAACTTTGATATACAGAATAGTGCTACGAGCCACTCAAGATTCAGAATCTTCATTTTGGTAGGGTGCGGATTTTGTTTTGCTAGAAAATAAGGTGCTTTTCCGATCAGTCTTGCCTGTAATTTCTCCGGCTGTGAAATGTTTGAAGGGTTACGGTGAAAGAAAAGATTATATAGGCGACGTCTATCTCGACTCGAGGGTGACTCTGGATGCTGAAAGAAATAAGCAAGTTGTATTTGATGGTGTAGGCAAAACTTAGTAGCTGGTGCCATCCAAAATACGGAACAATGGACAACATTATATACGAGCCTAGGCCCTGTCAATATCAATGGCAGGCATATTTGGGCATATGGAGTGATAAATTATTAAAGTATCAAGGATAGCATTTTATTATTAATTATTTGATTTGATTCATCATCCTGATTCGGCGCTCCATGGGCCAGTGCAGGTGTCTGAACATTGAGATATATGGGAGGAAGCCTCTCGGTGTAGAGCCTCCGGCCTGTTTATTGTCTCCATATTTCCCCTATGCCCTTCAGCGAGCGCACTTATATTCTAGTGCTACCGACGCGAAGCAATCACATCTTCTCCACTAATTCCGAGTTTGACTCGCCATAATTCCTTCTCTCGGCAGCAATACGGCCATAAAGATGCAGCGGGCTACCTAGTCTGGTTATGTAATTAGAACTAGTGGCGCAGCGGCCCAGTATTTACGCGTCTTTTTTTTTTTTTTTTAATTCATATTGTATTCAGCTATCTAGCTATGACAATTTGGTATATTTAACAGTATAATCAAAATCAAAAGCAAATCAAAAATTTAACAACACAAAAACCACTAACATCAGATTACATTTTGGATGCCATGTCTCATCCTATCAGACTTCTCTAACCATAACTATTACTCATTTCTATTATTTTTTTGCCTTATATATCTCCTTTGTATTTTGCTATACACTGAGAAGTTTTTAAAAATTTTAGTAAGGCTTCCCTTCCTCTTTTGGTTCTGAGTATTATTGGTAATATTCTAGGCTCAATGCCAGCAAATGCAATGTCCCTTTCTCTTCGAAATTTGGTGCAGTGGAGAACTAGGTGCTTTGTTGTCTGCTTTCTGGAATGGCAGAAATTACACCAATGATCTTTCACCTTTCCAATCATGTTTAAATATGCTCTTGTATTGCCTATTCCAGTTAGGACTTGAAAATATCCAGATTCTTCTAGCCTGTTGTGGCCATGGGTATTTACGCGTCGTAGATACGATTCGATACAGCATTTGCGACCTCCAACATCTCCGAACCCTAACCTATTTCTACCGTCTTTCTCATCCGCTATGGATCGATCAAACCATAGTCTACGGTCCACTGTGACGTCCTCTAGATCTGTTAATTATTTATAATTACTCCAAAGAACCAATCCTTAGCTTTTCTCTAAACATCTCCCCCTGTTGCTTGGCTGTTTACACATTTGTGCGCACTCAATGGAGTATCTAGATTTTTTTGCATGTTCATGTTCGTTCCATCTTTGTTCTGAACTATCGACTACTGAGACTATTATGTAACTTTATATGCTTGTGGCTTAACCCCATAAAAAAGTGGACACACATGGCAACATCTCCATGCTTGGCCTTTGTGTCAGGTAACTGTTGGTCTGACTTGTGACCTGCAAAGTGTATGGAATTAAAGAAAAAGATATCCCAGTGAAAAAAACTTTATTCCTATTTCCCCCTGAACTCTAGGACTATACACACTGATGATGACTGACTAGATCTGGGGATTGCACCATTAAATTAGGAAACCCCTAATTGGAATGAATAAGAAAAGTTGTATTTACATAGTCTGTCCTACATAGACTAAGCTCAAAAAGTACATAAATGGATAACTAATTTAGTTGATCTCTTGAACTATAAATGTGGACATGTGATAGGAATAGATAGCAAGCAGTTCAAAATACAGGATACAAGCGCTGACCGAAGCAAGCAGCCCACGTACGTATCAACAATTCCTATTTTTGAAGATAGACATTTCCCTGTCCAGCTCCTTAGATGGTTATTCTTAGGCTTTTATTGTCTCATTTCATTGTCATACCTGAGTCTATGACTATGAAGGACATGTAGGTCCTTTATGTCAACAGGCCATGGATACATTAAGCAGTAGTAAATCCCTTCCTATGCCTCCCATACAGCTCCCATCCAACAGTACCACCCCTTACAAGCCATCATTCGATCATACACTTAGAAGAACCATTTGCCCTTCATATCTCCCATCTCCAGTCAACAAAATAATGGTTATTTGCGGGTATATAGCAGCCGGGAAATATCGCAAAACCACTGGGTACGGGGATCTTCGAATATCGACATTAGGACTAGATTAGAAGACATAGTGACCCTTCTGAAGCGTTCGATGAGACCAGCTAGCTGGGCACTGCAGACTTGTGGGTACATCGGAGGATTCACCATCTGCCTTTCTAGCCTCCCCCCAATTCCTTCCCGGAGATCGTGCTGAAATGTCCGAAAAGTCTTGACATAATGTGTGATTGCTGTATGGTAGCTTAGGCCAGCTTCTTCTGTGCAGTCCCGGACGCTGGGGAGTGCCGTTGACTCATCACCAGAAGAAGTACTTCTAGCTAATTAGCCGAATTCCCAATCTTGGCGCTCAAAAATGCTCCAAAGTTGGAAAGCACTAGAAAATATTGGTCCCAGCATGGTTTTCAGAGGCCTCTCCCCCTTCTCGCTTTATATCTCAGCCGCCTATCACTCCTGATGTTGCTTGTCCCATTACAGCAAAGGTCCCACATAAGCCAGGTCCCAAGCTTCGTATTGGAAATAGAGCTTCCTGCCTTTCTTTCTATCGATCAGTATGGTTGCATGCACCTTGCCTGAACTTTATTTCTGAGTTCAGGCAGGAGCCCATACTTCTAATCCAATCGGACTCAACGTTTGAGTCTGCTTGAATCCTATTCTTCCCGAACAAATCCAGTCATTGGTTTGTTCGTATTTTCTATTGCATGAACCAGTATTCAGAGTCTGTGGATAATTCTTTTCTGGTCTGGGATCTCACTTATTTCTGCAGCCGAGTCGTTTCCGGATAACCTTTCTTCCTCGTAATTCCACTGTCTATATCATGATACCTATAGTCTATTAGTCAATTAAGCAAACTGAACTTCTTCTTCTTCCCCGGGCAATTCTTACTCCAAAGTTCTCTCCATATTCTAACACATTGTATTTTTCGACTTAGCCTCCTACGTGCAGGTATAGAAAGCGTCGCAAATATGTAGTGGAAGATGGTTGGTGATTAATGGGGCAAGCTTCTATTTGCAATTGGAACAAATTTTTATTGGTTGTTGAGGCGAGGTGATGTATGGTTAGAAAGGATTTTATGACCTAGAGGAGAATGGTAAGAGAGGCATTATCGAGAAGTTTTCAATGGGGGAACTGCTTGAGGTTTTTTTTAACTTTAATTGGCTTTTTCTTTGATTTGTATTATTATCCTGATTTGGCGCCCCATGGGCCCATGCAGGTGGCTAAAAACCTTTCTTTATATTTATGTAGGAGGAAACCTCCCCATCTTTCTGATTTACATCTTTAAAATTTGCAATTTATCCCTCAGGAAATACAGTTACACTGTAGTGCTGTCTGTGTGTATCAATTACGTTCCCTGTAACGAACCCAACCTGTTCCAGTCCTGTCTCGTTCCATAATCAGCATTTCAACTGCATTTTTCATGCGGAATTGATCTCTCCAAACATAACTAGGAATCCATTGCGTAATTCTTTTAATATGACCAGGATTATCTATCATAGCTTTGTAGAACCGATCTATTAAAGTTCTAGGGGGTATCTGGAATGATAGAAGTGAACGTTGACTGTCAAGTCATTACAGTACAAATCGTAAGTTATTGGGGATTTCAGGATCAGAGATAAAAGGTTAGGATCAGTGAGGTTTTTGGATATACTGAACTTATATTTTGTTTGTTAAAGTGGTAATGGGGAAATCTACATCTAATTATCTATCTTTGTTCCACCTCGCTTAGTGGAAAAATTATGTTCTGATTACATGATGAAATAACATTCCCACCACCGAGATCATTATGAGCCGAGACCTCACCAAAGCTGGTAGCGATCGAAGATGAGTAGTCTTCGTCTACTCCGCACTGCGTGCAGTTCGGTCTGGCATGTCTAGATTACAAAATCCCTCCTCACTTTGTGCCAAATATACAGGTGCATAAGTGTTTGAATGTCGGTCCAGGAACTCCTGTTGTACAAATATCAGCTAGAGTATTTTTTTATGCAACATGTAATAGCCTAAGTGAGCCATCTTCTATCTTCTCTCCCGTAAAATGGTAAGCAATATCAACGTGTTTAGAAGCGTCGTAAAGCTTTGGATTATGAGCGAGATCGATAGCGGCATTGTTGTCTGTTGATAGAAATGCAGGAATATATTCATTATCAAGTCGATGTAGTACACGTAAAAGCTAGATGAAGTATTTAGTCGTAAGGGTTAGCGCCATACACTTAGCTTTGCAAGTGTGTCGCGGTTTCATTTTACAATGCATGGGCGATCCTCTAGGTACAATATTTTAATTATCATACTCTGAAGAGAGAATTTCTGTACCTAATGACTACCTATATATACAGTCTGAAACATCCCTCTTCGATAAGGTTCTCTCTATAACTTGACAACTTAGACACTCCGATAGTCACCTAGAAGATCCTTGATATTCCTGTAACCCTCAAGAACTCTCAGTATGTTTCAACAAGGTTCAGTATGAATCATCTAAGTTCCCTGTCATTCAAGATCTTCCCAGGAACCTCCCTTTGTATAATTGCCTGCGCTATATAGCGTAGGCTACAGGGACCTTTAGGCTTGATAGCCGTCACAAAGTGTAGTGTTACGGCTACAAAGCCGGTATTTCCTGTAGTCAGTACTGGCGTACAAACCCCAGGGAAAATGAAGGCACAAAAGCCCCGTAAAAGATACTAGAACCTCCTGAGAAGAGACTAGAAAAGTCTCAATGTGAGTATGACTGATACTAAACCTTAAAAGAGCTGCTAAAAACAATACCCTCAGAGTAGCAACTGGAATCATAGAGAAGTGAGCTGACCCTAGAGGAAGGGACTTTGAATATAATAAATCTGTATATGTACCTGGCTTAGTATGAAAATTCTGCTCTCAACAGTGAAATTGTAAATATACCAT